GATCAACGACGATATAATCTCCCAGTAATAGATGAGATTGCCGTAATTTTACTGGGTGATGGAACCGAGTCAAGTGGAATGAGAGACATTATTGTGAATCTGAGAGAGAATAATGGGTTGATGCAAATTAATGAATGTCACCAGGAATATTTACCATTGCATTATGTTTTATTATTCTCTCATGGTGAGCTTGGATGGGAACCTGAGTTTAGACAATGGGATGTCTTATGTGGTCAGCCTTCAACTACTAGACTCACTCAGCTACAATTTTATAGCTATCGCTTGTTTGAACGCCCTATCGAGTATTCAACAATTTTGAGAGGAGGCAAGTTATGCCAAGTGTTTGTAGTAGATGCTTGGGCCTCAACTGAACAAAACCGGTTGATGTACTATAAGCTTAACCAAGGAAAATTTCATGCTGAACTTTACCAAGGTCTAATAGATGTTAATGCTGATGAGTTGGGACCTGAACAAATTGGTCAACGCATGATTTTGTCATCTTCATTTACTGGTAGTGCAAGACATATGTTTGAGATCTTTCAAGATTCAATAGCTATCACGCGATATAACCAACACCCAAATATTTTCCTCACCATGACTACAAATCCCAAATGGCCTGAAATTACTTCAGCTTTGTTGCCATATCAAAACTCTCTTGATCGTCCTGATTTGGTTGCACGTATTTTTGAGTTAAAGAGACGTGCTTTGATAAAGGAGATAGAAATAAAGCAAGTATTTGGAAAAAAAATAGCACATGTATTCATAATTGAATTTCAAAAACGGGGGTTACCGCATATGCATGTTCTTTTGTTTCTTCATGGTGCAGACAAAATTCAGACATGTGCCCAGGTTGACAAAGCGGTTTGTGCTGAATTTTCAAGTTATGACAATGATCCATTCTTTTTTGAAATGATTAAGAGTTGTATGGTACATGGACCATATGGTGCTCGAAATCTGCAAGTATCATGTATGAAAAATGGTATATGCACTAAGAGATATCCTCGAGCCTTTGTGGATTCAACAAGTATGGACAAAGATGGATATCCTGTCTATCGTCGTCGCAATAACGACCAAACGTATATTGTGAGGGGACAAGAGGTTGATAATAGGGATGTTGTACCATACAATCCCTATTTATCAAGAATGTTCAATTGTCACATTAATGTGGAAGTGTGTGCAGGTTTGAAATGCGTGAAACATATTCATAAGTATATCTATAAAGGTCATGATCGCACAACCATGGTGTTGGGATGAATAAATGAGATTCAACAATATCTTGACACAAGATATATTGGACCACCAGAAGCTGCTTGACAATTATTTGGTAATCCGATGCATGAAGAGATTTCAACGGTTGTACAATTGGCACTCTATTTGCCTGGTATGCATCTTGTTGTCTTTAAACCTGTACAACCATTTGATACAATCCTTTCTAAAGCAAGACAGTAAGATATAACTCTGATTGATTTTTTTAAGCGTTGTGGTTCCAATGAATCTGCACACGCATTAACCTATCAAGAATTTCCCCAGAAATTTGTTTGGAATAAGGCAACGAAGATGTGGACTCCAAGACAAAGGGGATATACAATTGGTAGAATATACTTTGCTAGCCTTAATTCAAGTGAACGATTTTATCTTCGTCTTTTACTCACTATTGTTAAAGGACCAATATCATTTGATTCTTTATGCACGGTCAACAATATTGATTATGAGACGTTCAAATTAGCATGTGTTGCGAGAAGACTTTTAGAAGATAATGAAGAATGGATACAACGCCTTCAAGAGGCTTCAATTATGAATACGAGGTATCAATTGAGGAGATTGTATAGTATAATTCTTACATAATGCACTCCACTTCATCCACTTGCATTATAGAATCAATTTTCAAAACAGATATGTGATGACCTTGCACACAAGATTCGTACGATCTTTGGCATCGTGAATCCAACACAAGATCAGATAGAAAATTATGGGTTATATCTGATGAATCAACTTCTCCATGAGTTAGGCATGAGTTTAATTGATTTTTCGCCTATGCCACAACCAATTGGGAACTAGAATGTAGTTGTTGGTGACAAATTGTTATTTGAACATCAAAAACTCCAGAATGAAGTGCAACAAAAAATTTTTGATATTGACTGCCTTAATGAAGCACAACGCAATGCTTATGCTGCAATCACTTCGTCCGTATTGGACAATGAGGGAACTACATTTTTCTTGAATAGGGGTGCTGGAATACGAAAAACATTTTTATACAATACAGTTGCTACTAAATTGCGTAGTCTTGGACATGTTGTTGTTGTTGTGGTTTCTTCCGGTATTGCATCATTATTATTAGTTGGAGGCCGCACCGCACATTCAAAATTTTGCATTCCTTTGGAAGTGCTTGAGAATTCAGTTTGTGGATTTACCAAGCAATCTATGCACGCAGAGTTGTTCAAAAAAATAAAACTCATAATATGGGATGAAGTTCCTATGCAGCATAGATTTTGTGTTGAGGCAATAGATCGTACACTCCAGGATATTTGTGACAGCAAAAAGTCATTTGGGGGTATCACTGTCGTTCTTGGTGGAGACTTTCGGCAAATCTTGTCAGTTATACCAAGGGGAGTTCGCGAGCAATTTATGGGTGCTTCATTGAGACGGTCTATGGTATGGAGGGATATACATGTTTTGACATTGGATTTAAACATACGTTTGAATAGAACATATGATGGAAACACAGATTTTGCAAATTTCTTAATGGAGGTAACATTTCATTGATTTTAAATTTTGTGAATATATATTGAATATATTGATTTTGATTATTCACTAATTGTGTGCTTTTATTTTTAGATTGACACTAACCCACGAGAAATTATAAAACTTTCATCAATAATACACAAATGTAACAACCTCCATGAATTGATTTACAGTGTTTTTTCACGATTGGAAGTGGTTGGTACAATGACCCCAGAATTTTTAACTAAACGCATGATACTTTCTGCCCGTAATGATGATGCCAGTGCTATAAATGCTGCAGCATTGCAAATTTATCCCAGAGAAACAGTTACATATTTAGCTGCAGACAAAATGTCAGACGCTGATGAAATCGATTAAACCATCACAAATCGATTTCCTAATGAGTATTTGAACTCTTTGAATCCTTCAGGTTTTCCACCATTCCTTTTAGAGCTAAAAGTGGATTGTCCAATAATGTTGTTGAGGAACATTGCACCGAAAGATAGTCTTTGTAATGGAACGCGATTGATAGTTGTCAGATGTGTTATGTGTGTAATTGAAGCTAGAATATTAAATGGAGATAAATCTGATAACTTGGTCTTCATTGCAAAAATATCTTTGGCACTGACAACTTCTGAATTGTCCTTTCAAATGACTAGACGTCAATTTCTTATCCGGTTAACATATGTTATGACAATTAATAAATCTCAAGGACAATCTATGAAATTTGTTGGAGTTGATTTGCGAACACCAGTCTTTAGTCATGAACATCTATATGTCGTACTATCTAGATGCACATCTTCTGATCGTTTACACATCCTTCTCCCTGAAGATGAGTCGAACTGCATGACAAATATTGTGTACCCTGAGATTTTGTTATAATGGTCCGTATTCTACAAGGACGAAATGATATAAATTACTTGCAAGTTTATTTCTATTGATTGCAAACATTTTAAAATGTTATTTTATTGATCAAACATTTTATTTCATCTATAGAATTGGATGAAGAAGTGCAGGAGTTAAAAAGAATAAATACAACTCATCTTTTGCGATGAGGTTGTTTGAATAAGGTAACTAAATTTATTTGTTATAGTTTATTTTTTATTTTCAAGTTTATAATTTTAAAATCTCTGTCGTGTACTAAATTTAACTGATTTTGTAAATGCTAGATTGTTGTACATTCCCCTAGTTGGAAGATGCAGATTTGGATTAATACAATAACATTCAAGGTTGTGATGGAGATAGAGTACTTACAATGACATGCAGATAATCCGCATTTTGATGAATTAGATTAAAGAATGACCCATTTTATAAATGTACTATATATAATTACGTTTTGTGGTCCATATTTCACTAAAGTCATGACATTTCGTGTTTAAAAATTATATACAGTGCCTTCAGACACATGATATAGGCAAGTTTAGGTTGTGTCCGAGTTCAATGCTTGGTTATTTCGTGTTCAAATTCAATGTTCGATTTTTTTTAGTTGCACTGTACCTCCAGGCACGAGTTATCTTTAGTGTTAAAATATAACATGATTCGTTAACATAATATGAAATTAGAGAACTTAAAATTTTGTTAAATCACTCATTTTATAAATGATTGGACTTGAAATGACACAGTTAATAAATTAATCGAATATTGGTAAAACAAACCAAAAGAAATACAAGACACAACACGAAGCTGATATAATACAATTTATTAGATATAAATTAATAAACGAATCAGATATAAATGAATATTTTTTTATACGAATCTGTCCAAATTCGCAAGCCTACTACTCATTAGTCTCATTTGGGATCTCCATGTAAAAGTTTATGAGTGGTGGATGAGTGAGTGTCACTGTAAAAGTTAATAAGACTCGCTCATCTAATAAATGATGCGCATTTAAATTGTAATTTTTTAGATTTTATTTGAATTGTGTAATATTAATTTTTTCTAGATAAAAAAATGTTACACATTTCAAATGAAACTCAACAATTATAATTAAAATAAATATTATCCTTTAAATAAGTTTAGGATGGATGGATTTCAATAAAAAAATTGATAGGATCCACTTATACAATGGATAATATATATTTAATTTATAATTTTAAAATTTTATTTAAATTATGTAGGATTACTTTTTTCGGATGTAAATTGGGCAATTCCAAGTTTAAGACAGTTCTGTTCATCCAAAAGTTTCAACATCTTCCCGCCAACACTCTTGAAAGTTAAACAAAAGCCATTTGGTTGTCTCTCAAGTTGTGTTCCTGAACTCAGAAGCAAGAGTCAGAGAGATGAACACAAAACATTCATCAAGTAGAGTTTTGGGGCAGCGCTCGATTCCTTCAACATTCCTCTTCCGCTCTTCAAACAGGTAATCGATAAAACCCAAAATCACCATATGTTTTGTTGATCCTTAAACTGCACTTATGTTTTAATTTTTTCTGCTCCATTTCAGGTCCAATGATTATACAGAATATGTAAAGGCCAAGCCTCCCGAAAAGGGTTCGCGGGTCTCACTCTCTGATTTCCTTGACCGGAAGCTTCAGAAAAGTTCTGTCCCACCCAAATCAGTTCAGGTGTTTTCCTTTTTGCTATATTTTGTTTGGTTTATGAGAAAACTGAGGAAAAGAAAAGAAATAGATTTTAATATCCAATGCTTTATGTTTTATTGGCTTTGAGTATTTGAAGTAGGCTCAGTGGAGTTTTTAATAGGATTAGCATCGTCTCCACAAGTAGATTCACCACAGTTCCCTCAATTCTAGATCAACCACATTGTTTGGTGGGTTACGCAAAGGCAATTAGTGCAATTGGAGTTATGATAACTAATATAGGATTAAGGGAATTGATTCAGAGCCCCTTTTAAGGTAGTGTTCAACCCAAAATATAGGGATCCACGAACAGGTCTCTTGAACCCAAATCATTATCTTGTTATTTGCGTGTCTGTTTTTTTTGTTAATAAGATCGATTTTTGTTGACTGGGCAATGCGGCACTTGTACAGAAAAGGAGAAAATAAGTAAAAACCCTTAAATGAAGTACAATAAGCTATAGGATCTACCAATCAAGCTGGGATTTGAAAACAAGTGCAAGTTAAGATCAGAGACAGTAACATGTAGTGATCTAAACTGACTCTATTTTTTAACTCGACTCCATTTTTCCAAGTTGGAATCATTATATTGTTTCGATTGCAAATGGAAATAATTTTCAGTTTACTTGAGCAACATAATTGCCTTAGGATCTTAGTGGAGGCTATGAAACTTTCAAAGGTTCTAAAATTTTAGGTGGAAAACAAAAATTAGTCTTTGAAGGTTTTGTTCGATCCAAATCAGTTCAATCAGCTACCTTGCATGCACCTATGTTTGCTTCTAAGATGGAGGAAACAAATGAAAAATGGAATTTAAGTATCTTATGCTTATGTTGTTTTATTTTCAAGTAATAGCAAATTCCCATGAATTGTGGAAAAAGTTGCATTAGGCCCACTATAAGTGAACATTTTAATTTTAAAAAGGCAGACTTTTGTTGACGAAAATAGAGCTTCTGTGATATGTCTTATGGTATTACAATTGCATAAATCTGTTTACATGTGAATATAGAGTTTTGGGTTTAGAGGTAAAGCATCTAATTCTTGACAGGGCAAGGAGAGGCCATTTTCGTCCCCTTTGGGCAGTAGCAATGTTAGTGGATCTACTGAAGTACAGAATGATGATAAGGAAAGAGGTGAAGCAGAGGTGAATGGTGCTTTTGATGCAGTGTTTGAAAAGTTTAAGCATACTAGAAAAGAGAATGAAGATTGTATAGGCCTGTGCACTAATGGTGAGGTTGGAAGTTCTAGCACAGATGATGTGCAACCATCAAGAAAAAGGAGTCGTCCTTTTGAAGGTTTGTCGTTGCATCTCAATCACTTGGCACAATCCGTTTTTCTTACAGAAATTGTTAAATGCTGCTTCTAATTTCATCTTAAGTTTTGATGTTCTTTTCAATATTTGGCTAAATCTCTATTGACAAAACTTAAAATAAATTTAAAACTACAAGGCACTGTGAAAGTAGACATCAATCAACTTGATCACTTTGTGGGGTCTAGAGTATAATAAGTTTTGTGGGGAATTGTTGCCAGCAATTTCCAGATTTGTACCATAAGTGCTGAATGAAAGTTTCTACTTAAGGAGGGAATATAATTCTTAGCAACTTAAGTGCTTAATTCATTGGAGGAAAGCATGCAGGTAAAATTTGCTCCCCCATCCCTCCCTTCTAGCTTTACAGGGTGGGAAAAGAAACTTCATTCTTTTTAACACTCTTCCTCAAACAAAACAAAACAAAACAAAGCACACAACACAAAAGCAATATGATCTGCATCCTTCTCTGAATAATCTGCTTCCTTTCTATATTGTTGGTTTTAAGCTTTACCTATCACATAGGATTTGATTCGATGATGCCCTGCGATTGACAGTGATTTCATGCATCAGGATGAAATGCGTTTCTTTCTTGTTACTTTTATATTTATGTTCGAAATATGAGTTTTTGTGCCATTAAAGGTGGTGAATATAAACAATCTGCTCACAAGCTTTTAGTAGCTCTTGGAGATGATCTGAGGAACAAGCCAAAAGTAAAGAAGAGTTTTGCTAGCAATGAGAAATCAAGGAAGCTTTTCAACCACTGTAAGTATGGGCTCTCCATAATCATAAGCAGTCTAAAGCTATTCTTTATTCAGTTATATTACCCATTGGCCATTTGAATGCATTTTCTAATTTAAGTCAAACTAAAGGAAAAGAAGGTTTGGTTCTTGGTTCTGTTTAACAGATGCAAATGGGAGTGGCTGGTGGGACTGTGATATGGAAGGCGTTGATAATGATGAAGTAGGGTGCAATGAAGTCTGGGAAGGGCTAGGCTCCACTACATTGGGAGGACTGGAGTGGCATTAGACCATTTTTAGTAAGTTAGCCATAACTCTGGGCAAGTGAGCTCAAAATGGAAAACTGACCACTTTCAAAACAAATGGAGATATTTGATCGTTCACCTCTGGCATCCTGAAATTTCTAATGTATTATGCAGATGTTATGAGAATTCAGACCATTCAAATCCCTTCATACATATTTATGTCATCTATGGTTTTGTTCAGGACAACCTCATAGATTGGATGCTTGTTGACTGTCTTAACAATTTTATGGATTTACTTTTATGTTCTATTACTCAAAGTTGCTTCTAAGAAAGTTTCGAGGCCCTTTGGGGGACAAAACTGCTGTTGATTTATATTCTAATTCATGATTTTTATTTTTATTTTTTACTTTTGTGAATAACTTGCAATAAAATTGCAGATGATGATCTTGAAATAGGTGAAGTTACAAAAGAATGGTACAATTAAGCATTCAAGTATAAGTCATTCTTCTTGAACTTGCTGGCAGCTACAACCCTTGTATTCTTCTGAGCATATAGCATGTCCTTGAAACATTGATAGAAACATGCTGAAACATCTTGCTCATCAACAAGGTTCAAACACTGAAGTACCCTGACAGCATTCTTTCCAGTTTCTATGCTCCTTGCAGATGGAATAGACAATTTTCAAGTAAAATTTTGCATCAATGTTGAAAATTTCAAAATTGGGAAATACTCCTTTGGGTGTCCTACTTACACAATGAATCTAATAAAGCAAAACTGTAGTGAAACAGCTAAGTATGTTAGAACTGGTAAGAATGGTCATTTCATTTGTTAGCTGCCTCACTTGCAAGCTGTTTATTACATTGATTCTCCCTAAGAACAAATAAAATGTTTCTGTTTTCAAGAAGATTGAAATAAAACACTGATCGAATTGAAATTTCAATGTTTCAAGATGTTTTGATATATTTTAGAATGTTTTAAGTGTTGTAAGATGTTTCAGCATGCTTTTATCAATGTTTCAAGGTGCTCAAAAATATTTAGACCAATCATTGAAGTATTTTGAAAATAAATTCTTAAATTTTTTTATCAGTGTTCATTAAATTTTCGAAACGTTTTCGAAATATTTTTAAAACGTTTTTTTTTAAGTGATTGAAATAGTGTGCCGAAACAATATTTTGATATTTGGTACATGATTTAATCATTTGAGCCAACTTTGATAATTTTTAACATGAATTGTTGATACGAAATTCTTAAGTTAGAGTTTACTTTTCGTGTGTTTGAATTGTAACAGAGATGATTACTTAGATTTTATACATGACTATAAAGAAGATGTGTACAAAAATTTGGTGAAATCCGGCAAGAAAATATAACTTGGAAATGGACATTTTTATCCCTAGGCACAGTGAACATATAAAGAATTAAGATGCAAAAAGAATGTATCGTGCAGCATTTCACATGTAATTGAAATATTGTTCTGGATCTTTGATATGTCTCAGAAAAATGCATTATGGGGTGAGAGAGGCTCGAACTCTCGACCTCAGGATCACTCAAGAAGCTATGAGACCTACGCGCTAGCCAACTGCGCCACCACCCCCGTTGGTGCAGTTTTTTATTTTTAGCCATTATATAGAAAAGTATCACTCAGAAGATGTGCAGTTTTTTTAATGGGTTTATTCTCATTTTGTATCTGAAAATATATTTTGAATATCAATTTACACCTTCAATATTATAAATTGATTGCAATGTGGACCTTGCTTAGACTACCATTCAACGTTCTATCATAAATTGAAGCCCGTGAGTTGCAAGTGCTTCAAGCATGAACTTATGTATAAATTTATTGACTGTTGACGTCTCATGTAAGTTGCATATAATATGATTAACATCTATATACATAATGAAACCCAACTTTCGATACACAAAATAGTACCAAATTGATCGCATACGAAGATGTGCAACCATGGACTTACTTATCCTCCGGTACGAAGCATTTGCACCTCACGTGCTTTAATTTATGACGAAAAATTGAATGATAGTCTTAGTCAGAATCACACTACTACCAATTCATAACATTAATGCTATAAAATTGAGATTTTTAATATTTAAGGGTGTAAATTAAAAAATTAAAGCATCTTTTGGAGTGTAAGAGAACTAATATGGGTTCTTTTAGTTGGATCTTGGTCATCTCTATTACTTTTTCACATAATTTTACTCAATGGTAGATCATTCGTTTTATATGAGTGAGGGGTTCACGTATAAAAAATAAATTCCACGTGAATATATGGTAGGTGATCTACCAATGAGTGAAATTGTGTGAAAAAAAATAATAAATAGAAAATCAATCATTTTGGTTTGACCAAGCTTTTGGTAAACTTTTGAAATTATATTTGTTTTTTCTCTTATAGAGAAAAGAAAAACTTTAAGAGATGGGTTGTTTGGAATTGTTTTTATTAGAAGTATCAAATGTGTCGGGTTGATTTTGAATTTGTGTCAAAAATTTCAAAACCCAAACTTGACATGTTTAATAATCGCGTTGAGATGTCTTATCACTAATCTGACCTGACCATTAAATGGATTACCTGAACCCGTCTTGTTTGACATGTCATTTTCGAGTTAACACACATTACATGATCTATTTAATTTATTTAGCACACATAATACAAACTTGTTTAATATATATAACATGTTTTTACACCAGTTCATTACCATTAAATACATCATTCAATCATTCATCCAAACTTTTAAATAATATTTTTACAAATAACATATCGCATCTCATCAATAAAATTAACTAAAATACATTCAAGTTTCAACCCAAAAATTATACTAATATACTGTCATAATAATATTAAGAACTATATTGTCAATTAACATAGTAGAAGCAAGAACTAATAAATAATAATGTTAAGATCACATCTGTCATATATAATAGGCAAACTATACCATTATAAACTGGTTAAACCGGTCTATAATAGGTTAAGTCGAATTCGTATTCGAATCGTGTCAACCCGTTTAAAATATACGGGTTAATCAGGTCAAAATCGTGTAGACTTGATTTTGACATAAACCTGACATAATTTTTTTTTTTTTTAAGCGTATTAACCAGTTTTAACTCATTTGCTCTTTTAATTTTGTTTCTGACCCATTAATTTCTTGTTTAATTTGTGTCGTGTTAACGTGTTGTGTCAAAAATTGATAACCCTAATTTTTCTCGATAACACGTAGTTAAGGGAGATAAATTCCTTTGTTTGGATTTGTTTTTCCACTAGTAAATTGGACTAAGAATTTTCAAATTCTATAAGCCCAAGGAGAATGCATTTAAGATTCTATGGTATGACTTTGCTTTGAACTTTAACAATCAACCTACCACTAGATAGTTCCACAATGCAAAGATTACAAATATTCATGATAGGTAAGTGGTTGGACTTGTCCTCCAGTAACTTAAAGTTTTCAGGTTTAATTCTTTTTCACACCCTTTAAGAATTAGTCACTTTTATTTTTTTAGGGATATGCTCTAACTTAATTCAAACTATGGACCGCTAAACTCGAAAAAATAGTCAACACAAATGTAAATACTCTCTAACAAAAAAAATAATAATACAAAGATTATGTAAGAGGTGGTTTCTCTCCCTCCCTCCCTCACATATGTAGTGGCCCACACCTTTGCAAATGAAATCCATTTCTCATGCCCAATGGGGAATTGAAAATCCACCCTTACTACCACTTTAAAAAACTTTATTAAACAACTTATCCTATCCTTGGCTGCATGCATTTGTAAATGGTGGGGTTTCTTGGTGGCATTGATTGGGGCACCAGTTTTGTGGTTTTGTTTGACAAAAGGGTCTTTGATGTTAGACTTGTGAAGCATATAGGCAATGATGAGAGAGACAGACACCTATTGGCATCTTTGCACTTGCAGAAATTGAATAGTGACTATTTCTTGATCTTAATGAAATTTCCTATGTTCTTTTTGACCCTTAGATGGAGTTCAATTACGCACCGAAAAATTATTCTTTAGTATTGAATCTTTTTTATTTTTTCCAATGTTAACTTGTCACGTGTAAAGTCTAATTATTTTATTTTCCTTTAGTTTATCATTTTCACGGTTAATGCCCACAATAAATTAAACTAAAATCTATGAATAAAAATTATTTTTTTGGTATGAAATATTATTATTTTGTTGGGACAGTTAACCTTGTCCATTAGATGCTATTCATTTTCAAAGGCTACATGAGTTCTAGAAGCCAGCCATGCGCAAGTGGAATCATGGTTGATACTTTATATGGGTGGCACTAACACTGTATGGGTGGGGGTGGCATGCTTGATATTTTATATCACTTGCTGATAATAAAACAATCATCGTGAAGATAACTCAAATAGTAATATATAGAGACGAATTATAAATTCAAATATTTTGAGTTCGAATTTTGGTAATTTCTTAGGATTAGATTATGAGGGATTATCTTAGTCCCGGACGTGGATGACTTGCTTGCTTTTGATTGGTTCGGGAAGGAGATTAGTCAAAATGTGCGTAAGTTAATCTGAATACCTCTGACCGTTGAAAAAAAAAGAGAATAAATCAATGCATATGTATAGGAGCCCACATTGGTCGAATAGTAGTAATATACATCCAATATAATATGAGAACTAGTATATAACTTAGGGTTCACTATCCTTCTGTGATACTTTGTTATTGGATTAGGATGCTATGTTTCAATAATAACGTGAAATAACCACTACAAATGAATATTTACTCTTACACTAGCAAGCTAAAATTTATAAATTTTTACAAATTATGGCCCAAAAAATAAAGATAATAAGTAATTTTTTTTTTAAGCAAAAACTTGTTTGATTACTGTTTTTCAAAGGAATATGTGTACATGTATATATATGTGTATCTACATAATGATGTGGAGGATTTACCTTACCCAAACTAATTAGGCCGAGAATGAAAGAAAGTTTTAAAAAACTCTAATAATTTATGAAACTATTTTAGTAATTTAAGCAACAATGGTGGCTCATAGGTAGGGCTGTTAGTCGAACAAGCTCAAACCGAACTTGAAAAATTTGTTTCGTAATTGAGTTTAAAAAATTGTTCAAGTTCAATTGTTTAAGAAACGAGACAAGTCTGAATGAGCTAAAAACAAGTCGAATCCGAACTCAAGTCAAGTTCGAATAATTCAGTTTGATTAATAATACTACTCGTAGGGGTAGGGGGTGTTAAGAAGCAATTTTGATAAAAATGTATGAAAGCATTTTAGTAATTTAAGCAACAAAACTACTCAAATTACATTATCCTATGGATGCAATCTCTATTTCGTGGTTTATTATTGACATCTTCATATGGCTTTGATGGAGGAATAATTGCTCTCA